TTTATAAAACCAACAAACTGATAAAGTGTTAAATTGGGAACCAACTGAATTGGGAACCAACTCATACCAAAGACATTGTATAATTAGGGAGGGTTCTGAGAAGACTAAATTTATTCAACATTATTACACGACTATATGATTATCAAAATACAGTATATCATATTAAGCATATTAAAGATCTCTTCATAAAGAGTGCTTTACAGGGTCTACAGGTCTTCTATTAATCCCCTCACTACCAAACAATGTTTTGCGTGAAAAAATATTAGCATGACATTTATTTGAAGCAAGGCATGAAAAGATGGCATATAAACATTTCATAAACCAACAGTTCTGTTAATAGATTGCTTTACAGACAAACTTAAAAAAAAAAAAGTAATTTTTTTCACTTATTAGTTCATCTTTAATAAAAAATATTTGGGAAATTAAAAGTTTTATACAGTATACAGTGTCCTCTATCGATATGTTCCAGGAATGTTAATATAAAATAAATATTACATATTTTCTCACATAGAGTAGATGTGAAAAAAAATAGATAAATAAAAATGGTCAAATACCTTGCTTATAGGTATTGCAAAGATCCTGAAGGCAATACTAGCAGTACAGTGTATTAAAAATGGCAACATAATGTTAAACGAATGTGAGGGTAATGCCCACATACAGTAAATGCAATTAAATGAAATATTTCTAAAATAAAGTCTTCTGGCAGAGAAATTAATTCCTCTGCTGGCTGGTAATCAGAACTAAAGTATAAATGAGGGAGATTTCATAATGCAAAATACATAAAAAAAGAACGTTTATAATCTCTTTGGGTGTTGAAGGGGTTAGTACAGTTACTCTAAGCACCAAACCAACCTTAAACTAATGAAGCCGTTTTTGTGTATATACCCCTGTCTTACTACTGAATTCTCTGCTATTTAATAGTTAAATCACTTACTTTTGTTTTTGTTTATGAAGCCCTAGTCATATCTCCACTGGCTCTTACTCACACAACCTCCAGGAAAAAAACATGGCTTCACTTTTATCAGATCTTACAGCACAGTGTGCTATGAGGAGATGCTAATTGGGGAGATGCTAATTGGCCGGGGCAGCATTGTTACGCTACCCACCCCCTCCCCCCTTCACTGCATTGTGATTGGCTGAGATCACCACTTCTGATGATGTCAGCCAAGGAGACAGATCAGGGGCAGAGCCAACACCAGCAGACTGGTAAGATTTTACTATATTCAGGAGGACAAGGGGGAGCTAAGGGTGCTAGTTAGTGTTTTTAACCCTATAGGGTCAGGAATACATGTTTGTGTTCCTGACACTATAGCGTTCCTTTAAGTTTAGCAAGTTGATAACATTGTAGTGGTTTGAACAGCACTTGAAGGACTTCCATTCAGTATTATACTAATTAGTGGACGGTGGAGGCACACAATGAATAAATAGGGGGTTAAGAGGCACACAAGGCTTAAACGAGTTGGTTTAAAGGCTCCCAAGCAGAAAACATTTAAGAGTCACACAAGGTGTAAGGGGAATAAAAGTCATTTAAGGGACTTAAGCAGGGGGTCAAAATACACACAAGGGATGAGGGGAGTGGGGGGCTAACAGGTACACAAAGTCAGTGGCGTACAAACAATCCATGGGGCCCTGGTGCGAAACTGGTCCCAGCTGCGACCCCTGCGACCCCTGCGACCCCTGCGACCCCTGCGACCCCTATATGTACGCCACTGCCTAAAGTGTACAAAGGGGGTTAAGAGACACAGAAGTGGTAAAAGGGGGATAAAAGGCCTTCAAGGGGTAAAAGAGGTGTTAAGAGGCATACACAAGATTAATGGGGTTTAGAGACACATAAGGTGTACAAAAGGAAGTTAAGAGACACTCAGGGAGTAAAAGGGGGTTAATAGGCATGAGAGATTTAAAAAGGAGGTTAAGAATCACACAATGGGCAAAATGAGGGATTATGAGACACACAAGAGGTAAGGGGGGGTTAAGAGGCACATAAGAGCTAATAAGGAAGCTCAAGAGGCATATAGGGGTAAAAAGAGTGTTAAGAGACAAACAAGTGGTAAAAAGGGTTTTAAAAGACACACAAGGTGTAAGAGGGTTAAGATACACAGAAGGAGCAGGGAGACGAGAGGGCGCAGAGCAGACATACATAGCGGCTTTTGGACCAAGAATGACAGCTTTCATTTTTGAAAAAAAAAAATTTTGAAAAAAAAATGATTTAATACTTTTGGATTAGCTTATCAAATAATCACAAAACTTTCAAAAGATGAGTCTACAGAAAACACCATTAAAGTTATGAATATAATACAATAGAAAAAACACCCTTAACAATCACAGGTGGAAAGACATAAAGTGAGGAGGTGAAACACAACACACTTCACCTATACAAATTAATACCTCACCCTGTAGAATCAGAACAAAAAGGACTCCTTCCAGTCCTCTCAAAACATATATAGGATATAGGTTCTACAGTAGGAAGAAAAAACAAAACATCATAGTGTACTATCTGGGATAAATATTGATAGTGGTGTTCAAAGTTGCACTCACAATAAGAAGATTGATTGAAGGCACATCAATATTAAGGTTGACTAGCGATCTTCCCCATGTATAAGGGCATATAGGAGAGAAAAAATTTAGTAATAAATGCAGACTGTTATTCACCTAGTGAAGCACTAGATAAGGAAACACTTACAGAATTGCAGAGGTGTATAAGCATGTAGTATCACAGGTGCCCAGGAATCCAGAGAGAGTCCGCCAACGCATTCAAGTACAAATAAGCAAAAAACCTATTGACTTGTAAGATTTATTAAGTATAACAATTTAAAACAAAACATAAATAAAAACACAATCAAAATAAAAATCTCCTATAAAATTCCAACCCTACGCGTTTCGTCTGGCACAATGCAGACTTCCTCAGGGGTAAAATGAAAATCAGTCTCCTGTGTAGATTCTTTGCCGCCCGGCTTGGTATTTAAATCCGTTAAACCCCCTCCTCCGGATGTCGTCAGCTCGTCCGTATAGGGGAGATACAGCTGTCGCTTATTTCTTCGTTATGTGTTCCAAGCCTCGTTTTCGACCGCAGTAGCGATCATGTGAGCGTTCCACTGAATCTTATTTGCGTTCCACAGGAAAACCGAAAATGAGCGTCTGCGTTCCAGCTGAACGACGTTCTCAATAGGGTACTGGACTAGTCAACATAAACGGATCACAACGTATCCCTCGTGTCATACATAAAACAAAACAAAAAAAGAGCATGTATCATGTTCTTATTTCTTTTAAAATGTACACTTTACATCCAGTCATTAAAAATAATAAAAATAAAATAGTAATAAAAATAAAATAAATATAAATATGAAAATGAAATAAAAATAAAAAAATAAATAAAAATAAAAATAATAATAAAAATAAAATAAAATGAAAATAAAAATAAAAATAACAATAAATAATACAAACTCTAACAAAAAACTTAATCATACTAATAATAAAAAGGAAAAATAAATGATCAACATGACCGAATTAGTAGGAAATGTCAAATGCAAGAGAGGACATTACTAGAAGTTCAAAAAATGGATTCTGGACTATATATAAACCCTAAAAAAATGTAGTTCAATGATAGTCTAAAAACTACAATAATAAAAAACTATATTAAGATAATAATTGCAAGGGCCTTAAAAAAGGGACTCCATTCAAAAAACTTAATATTAAAAGACTCAATTTAAAAAACAAACAAGGTCGAAATCTACGATCATACCTCTTGGTTGTAGGGTCTTTAATCTATGTATCCAAAAACCTTCCCTCTTTCTTAATTTGAGCATCCCCTCTTGAGTCCAATTGTACCTGTTCAATTGCTATGTAATTAAGATTATTCTCAAATAAAGGACAAGAGTTACAGTGTATGGGAACGGAATGTGTAGTGATCTTTTTCTTCACATTATTGTAATGTTCTAGGCATCTCACTTTAGCTTTTCTCCCGGTCCTCCCCACATATTGTGCTCCACATCCACAAGAGATGAGATACACATCATGCGTGGAAGAACACGAGATATAGCCATTGATTTTAAAAACTTCCAAGGTCTGAGTACTCTTAAAATCTTTATAAACCTTATACGTATATCTACATGCTTTACAATTACAATTCTATCTCCCATGCCCCTCCATGTGTCTCATTCCCTGCTCCCTGCCCCACCATGTGTGTCTCCATCATCCCCTTCTGTAGCAGAACCCGATCTGGCAGGACATGTTCTCTCAGTGAGCACTACCTGTCAGACAGCAGTCCGCTGGTCCATAATACACACAGGGACCCCTATGAGCGTGGTTGATACGCCACTGCAGGTAATGTCCCTGAACCCATCTTGGAGACCTTTATTGTTTCTCCTGCATTTGAAGAGCACTATAAATCTTTGAGTTACATAAAGGAGGTCTTGATTAAACATTATCTGGTAAGCTTTGAAATGATCACAATATGTTGGAAACACTTTTCAAACAATTTACATACAAACATTCCCATAATTCCCATAACTTTAATGGTGTTTTCTGTAGACTCATCTTTTGAAAGTTTTGTGATTCTCTTTATATTTATAAATATCTCCATACACATATCTTATTAAATATCTATTTAGTTGAGATAACTATCTTACTGCAGTTACATAAACTAATATTAGCTGGAATTCTGTAACACTCATCGCCCAAAATATCAGTTGCATTTTGCTTATTTAGGAGAAGAAAGGGATTATGACTCCATTTCCTAATTATTAATCGTTCCCTCCTCCAATGCCCTCCACAGTTGCAGCTCAGCTGTCATGCAATACATTTTCAAATGTATCATAAATCACATCCTATGTGGTCTGCAATACACGTTGGTTATATCGATGGGAATTGACTTCGTCTCTCTACAAGACAGCAAAATGACAAAAACAAAGAAACACGACCATAGAAAATGGAAATAAAAAAAACAATGGAATATGGCAAGGAAAAAAAGCATTTAAGGAAATTGCCTGTGGAGGAGGAATAGACACTTGGAGAGGCAGGGGGAAATGCGACAAATTAGGGGGGTACTATTTTTAACCAAATAATGGGGCCATAATTGTGCTAAAGCCATAATTGTGTATGTTCCCCATTATTTGGTTAAAAATAGTACCCCCCCTAATTTGTCGCATTTCCCCTCGCCTCTCCAAGTGTCTAATCCTCCTCCACAGCCAGTCCATGTGTCTCAACTCATTCCCTCCCACCCAGCCCCTCCATGTGTCTCATTTCCCTCCCCCAGTGCCTCCCCCAGTGTATCATTCTATCTCCCATGCCCCTCCATGTGTCTCATTCCCTGCTCCCTGCCCCACCATGTGTGTCTCCATCATCCCCTCCTGTAGCAGCACCCGCTTGGAAATTGCTCTAGAAACAGGGTGGTCATGCGGGTACAAAGGCTGGATACAGACAAGTGGCCAAAAATTATGATGATTGAATGGTGGTCATGAGAGAGGGGTTTTCTGGTTACTTTCTCAGTCAATTTTTAATTTGTTGTATTAAATACAATCCATCTCTAATTATATAAGTACAGAGAAATAATTTCTATTGTCGAGCTTTTGATGTTAAAAAAAGAAAATCTACTTTATACATATATAATACACAATACACTTATTGTTTTTTTTCTTCATTATTTTCCAGACACGTGTGTCCAACAGATTAAAAGTTAGAACATTTAAAACAATAGAAGTGGAAGTTGCACTATTCATTGCAATGTTTGGTTCTGTACATATTACTTGATTGACAAACGATTCCTTGGTGAAGAGACCCAAAGAAAAAGAAACAGAATATTAAAACATTTCCTGTAAGTGTGGTTTCATTATCGGAGAATAATAGATAGATCAGGAAATGCTTTATGTAATGTTGACTTTAGAACACTATCCTGTCCTGCACCACACAAGACAACATAACTTTACTGACATGTATTATGTAGACAATCATGCTATCTAGAAATAATATTCTGGAGGAATGTAGTTTTCAAGAATTCACGAACAGTTGGTACTTCATGTGCACATGGTCAGTGCATCTACAATAGCATATTTGCATAAGTATATATGCTTTGCCTACAAATTAGTGTTTGCGTTACAAAATTATTTATTATCACCATATTTAATTTTATATGCTGTTTGGAAGATGGTTCTCAGTACATTGCCTTGTGAATTTAAAAGAAACTCTACATGAAGTTGCTATGGTACCAGGAGGCCCCTGGGCACACTCTTACCCAGGACCGGACTGGGACAAAAATTCAGCCAGGGCATTTAAAGGCAGAGCAGACGGGGGATGCATGGTGTGAGACGGGGATGGGGGCTGCACAGTGTGAGACGAGGATGGGGGCTGTACAGTGTGAGATGGGGATGGGGGCTGCACGGTGTGAGATGGGGATGGGGGCTGCTCGGTGAGAGAGGGGGACATTGGGCTGCACGGTGGGAGACGGGGGCTGCACAGTGCGAGATGTGGACGTGGGGCTGCATGGTGCGAGACGTGGATGGGGGCTGCACGGCGTGAGACTTGGATGGGGGCTGCACGGTGTGAGATGGGTACGTGGGGCTGCACGTTGCGAGACAGGGACGGGGCTGCACGGTGCGAGACGAGGACAGGGGGCTGCAAGGTGTGACTCGGGGACGAGGGCTGCAAGGTGTGAGACGGGAACGTGGGGCGGCACGGTGTGAGACGGGGTCAGGGGCTGCTAGGTGAGAGAGGGGCAGGGACTGCTGTGAGAGAAGGGACTTGAGACTGTTGGCTGAGACAGGGGCTGTTAGGTGAGGGGGAGCTGGTGCTGCTGTGTTAAAGGGGCTTTTGGGAGAGGGGGATATGAGGCTGCTGGGTGTAAGAGGGGATATGTAGCTGCTGGCTAAGAGGGAGGGCAGGGGCTACTGGCTGAAGGAGGGGCAGGGGCTGCTTGCTGAGAGAGGGGCAGGACATGACCCCATATTGGCATACTTTTTGCTTGCAACCTAGAAATGTATTTGGTGAAGTTATTAAGTGTTCTTGCATAGCAAGACCACTTAATGTTATCTCACATATATAGTATTCTTATTCTTATTATAGCCAAATTTACCACCCTAACTCCTCCCACAGTTTTTACACTACATAGACAGTAATATACCAAAGCGTGCGGATTGTTCCCGACCGGATTGCTATTACTTTGTGGAACGTTTCACCGAATGGTTCACGGAATATCGTCGTTCTTGTGGCGCAATTTGTCCCATAGGAATGAATGGCAAAGCTAGAATGGGAGCTGGCAAAAGCTGAAAAATCAGGACATGATTTCTAAACTGCCATCACTCCCTTATTTTCAGGCCCACCTACACAAATCTTATATCAAAATGTTCAGCTATCCCTGCTGCCACTAAACATGTCAACGGCTAAGCCATAGTCCTGATAGTTTTCACAATATAATCATTTGTTTGCAACTAACGCCGTCCATTGACATTCATTGAAACTTCACTCTACAAAGCTTAAATTTGAAGTGCAATTTCTAAACTGCGACTGTGCCTTCATTTTTAATACTTCAGAGACATACATGCATCAAAATGTAGGTCTGGGTCTTTTGTTTCTCACAATATAAAGCTCTTGGCTGTAGGATTTATAGTTTTTAAAATACGACCGTTTGAAGATGGCAACCCGCCAAAATACTCTGACCTGTGCCAGGCTGCAGCAGCAAGTGATGTCATAGACAGAGCCTTTTGAACACCTGCTAATGTTTTTATAAATGTATGGTTTAATGTAACTGTGCAACAACGTTGCAATTAAATGTGCTATATAAATGATAACAGTTACTCCGCCCACTCCATTTGTAGACTACTGGTGGAAGCAAGAACACTTCACACAATTTCCCCAGAAATTGTAGCTTTTTTAGTTCTATCTGATACTGAACAAAACTTTGATGCTATTTCTAAAACTAACCGTAGATAACCTTAACCCTACCTAACTCTAACTCTACCAAATGCTAACAGTAACTAAACCCAACTCTAACTACCTGTAAGACTTGCTAACATTATTAGCTATCCCTAAATCAGCCCTAACCCTACACTAACCCTAAGATCAATCCTATATAAGTCAGGCATAACCATCTAATCAGCCCTAGCCCTACACCAAATATAAATGTAACACCAATGATATTCCTAAACCAAAGAACCAACCCTAACCCTAATATTAGTAACCTGGGCAGACATTCAGTTAAAATGATTTAGTGCACTGCACTGGAATTGGGTAAGTGACAAGGGATTTTTGACCCTTTAGCCCCAGGAGGAAGGGGGGGGGCATGAGGGAGGGGGAGGAGGGGGTCAGAGGGCACTCTAGTGTAAGGAATATAGATTTGTAATCCTTACACTATAGTGTCCCTTTAAATGCAATATGTTCAATAGGCATAGTGCTCTGCACTGCATAACCACATAGAACATCACACAGTCCTTAAGGGGTTTAGAGTACAAGTCATTTCTGCTGACCTGTACTAAATGATTAATTGTTTTTTTTTTACTGTCATATGTTAGAACTGACGTCATACAGTTGATTTGTGATGTCATGTGCAGTGCCATCAGTAAACAGAAAAAAACCAAAAAACCTTAAAAAAGATTGATACAAAACGAACATCGATAAAATATTAAGTGGATTGTTGCCTTGAATTTGCTACTTTATAGATAACACAATTAATTTGATTGAAAATGCTTCTGTTTTTTTTTTTTATGTTAGCAAGCTTTATCTGTCAGAAATGAAACATGTACAAGATTAAGAAAGCTGTGATGCTGCATTTTTGCTGCTTGATCTAAATTTTTGCCATAAATCCGCTAATACTTTATAGATAAAATGTCCTGCATTTTCTATAAGCTTTTACAGCAATGGCAAGCTTCTGATATATAAAAGACAGAAAGCTTTCCTAATGAGTCAAGCTTTACGCATCATTTTCTTTATTAATTAAGCAAAAAGCCTTCAGACAGATTTTTTGGAATCGTCTAGTGCCCTAAAAACGTATCCTAAAAATATAGATTTGTAAAGGACAAATGTGAGAAATGAATCCAGCTGCATTCTGGATATCAAATGGTGCACCACTGTTTGTCATATAAGAGCTACACGGTGATTGCAAATTTGGAAATTAAAGGGACAATATAGTCACCAGAACAACTATAGCTTAAAGAGACACTATAGTCACAAAAACAACTTTAGCTTAATGAAGCAGTTTTGGTGTATATATCATGCCCCTGCAGTCTCACTGCTCAATTCTCTGCCATTTAGGTGTTAAATCACTTTGTTTATGAACCCTAGTCACAACTCCTAGCATGTGACTTGCACAGCCTTTCTAAACACTTCCTGTAAAGTCATCTAAAGTGTATCCTTCCTTTATTGTAAGTTCTGTTTAATTTAGATTTTCTTATCCCCTGCTATGTTAATAGCTTGCTAAACCCTACAAGAGCCTCCTGTATGTGATTAAAGATTTACATTTAAAAGCTGTGTCAATCAGAGTCAGGGGAGGTGTGACAAGGGCTGCATAAACAGAAACAAAGTAATTTAACTGCTAAATTGCAGTGAATTGAGCAGTGAAACATGAGAAGCATGATCTATATTCTAAAACTGCTTCATTAAGCTAAAGTTGTTTAGGTGACTATAGTCTTCCTTTAACCCCTTAAGGAACAAACTTCTGGATTAAAAGGGAATCATGACATGTCACACATGTCATGTGTCCTTAAGGGGTTAATGCAGTTGTCCTGGTGAGTATAATAGTTCCCTTCATGCTTTTTTCATGCAAACACTGCCTTTTCAGAGAAAAGGCAGTGTTTACATTGCCTCTAAGGACACCTCCAAGTGGCCACTCCTTTGATGGCCCCTGGAGGTGCCTCCTGGGTCAGTGCTGCCGAAAAAGCAGCACCTCCACCTCCAATCAATGGGAAAGCATTGGATTGGCTAAAAATCAGCCATATGTCACAAAGGGGGTGGAGCCAGCGCTGGCTGACCCGTGTGGCGCTGGAAATAAAATGAGTTTTAAACTTTTATAGGAGGGTTAAGGGGGGGCAAGCCACCTAAATGGTGGATTAAACACTATAGGGTCAGGAATACATGTTCGTGTTCCTGACCCTATAGTGTTCCTTTAAATGTAAAACAATATAATTTATCATGGACAAATACAAATGCACAGCATTAAACCCTACATTCCCTCCCACTACC